GCTCCCCGCCGTCCGGCTCGATCAGCCCCGCCCTCACGCCGCCGCCCCGGCGGTGGAGGCTTCTAGGACGGATCGATGTCGTGGGAAATGAGATTCCGGCGACCGCGAAATCAGAGCTGCGGGTTTTCTGGAGAGGCTGAGAGAGGAAAGGGGTTTTGGTGAAGACGGCAGCCATGGAAGCCATTGAAGGGTCTCTTTTGAGAGAATGCTGGCAACAGAGAGGAATACGAAAAGGGACCCTTCTCTGGATTCTTCAAGCTCCAGTAATGGAGGCTCTTCTTCGCGAAATCAGGAGGAATTAGAAGATGGGATCTTCCACTGGACTGATCGGGAAATCTTCTTGCTTTCGATTCGATTCGATTCCTAGCGAAGAAAGCCTTGGCGTTTGTTCTGTTTTTATAGAGAAAAATGATTTAGAGGACTGTTTATGTGGATGAACCTAGACGCTTTCGTTATGAATTTTGTAAAACCGTCATTTTAATTTTTAAAAAATGGTAATTGGAAAACAATTAAATACAATAAAGTTTACCTTTTTGGTACGATTATATTATTTGTGATTAACAATATCATATTATTATTTCTTCTGAATGCAGTCATTCATTTTCCAAGTCGAAAATCTTGTGTATATTTTTCGGTTTGTCCACTTGTTCAAATAAAGTAGTTGCCTACCATATAGTTATATATATATATATGAAAAACGAATATTTTATTTTCTTATAATATGATAGTTGTATTTTCAATATAAACGGTCCACTCCATTTAATCCATATTGATAATTTAATATGGAATTTGGCTGTAATGTTTCAATATATAACCTAATAGTTTCGATTGTATGGAGATAGATTTGTGTTGGTGATTATTGAATCGCCGTAGTTATAATATAAATAACTAATGTATCAATATTGGTTTATATGGTTATTGATCCTATTGTTATGTTGTAAGCGATTTAAATTAAATTTGATGTTTGAATTAGGAAGTGGACCGATGCTACAGTTGAACATAACTCACAATGCGACCAGGTGCGACCACCACTTTGGCCCATGTCGGTCCACTTGTTAATAGAATCACTTGTGGTGCCACGTGACATCACGAATATTCTTTTTATTTTCCTCTTTAAAATATTTTGATAATAATTGTATTTATGCAATCATATTTTAAATAAAAAAATTAAAAATGTGTTCCGCTCTGGTTATTTTATATTTTTATCATTGGCCGTTCATATTATATATTAGCAAGAAAATATATTGTTGATGCGTGTTTGAGTTGAGTTTTAACGTATTAATGAAAATTTAACATAATCTTTTATTCGCCAAATAATGTAACACGATTCAATGCAATTAATTCTACCTCAAATTTTGAGTCATCAATGATAATATCTTCGAGCCTGTAAATTAATTAAAATTATAGCGTAATTTAACTAATTAGTAACTTCGGCTATTAATAAAATGTTTTTTCGATGTATGTGTGGAGTATATATTTATAGACTGTGGATATTCAAATTATTCAAAAGATATAATGGATTTGCTACAATATTTTATGAAAAGAAAAAAAAATATAATCATAATCACAACACCTATCAGCATTGACCGTATGTTAAATTGGACCGACTCTTTGACTCCCTAACTTATAGGAAGCTGCGGCGAAATTATTTAATTGTTACATTCCCCGTCAGATGGGAAATTTGACCATAAGATTTTAAAAAGAAAACGGGAGATAGATAGATGAAAATTTGTAAAATGACAATATTACCCCTTCTCACGTGGAAAATATTGAGGTTGGTAAGCTGGTGGTAGGGGTGGGCACGGGTCGGATACCCGGGAAAATCGAGAGATTTGGATTCGGATCCGGGAGGCTCGGGTATTTAACTATGAGATTTGTATCCGGGATTTGGTATTTACGAGTATCCGGGGTACGGGTATCCGGAATAATAGTCGGGTACTCGCGGATATCCGGATCCGGATTTATTTAAGAAAAACAACAATATTCATATATAAAATTTTTAAAACATGAAGATATATTTATAAAAATTGATGAATTATGATAAAATATATAAGACAAAAGAGATAATAAGAGACAAATAATAATAAATTTAATTTTTTTGAATTAATATTAAAAAAATATGAAATTATTTCATCTAAAATAATTGTATTTTATAAAAATGTTATATAAATATAAGATATAATTATTTATAATCATAATACGCGGGTACCCGCGGATATCCGGTTTTAAAAATTCTATTATCCGGATTTGGATCCGGATTCACGGGTATTGAAAAATAAGGATTTGGATTCGGATTTGAAAATTACGAGTACCCTAAAATCGGGTATCCGTGAGACGAGTATCCGACGGATACCCGATTTTCGGGTATTTGTGCCCAGCCCTAGCTAGTGGTGGCTGCGGATCGTCGTCTGCCCGATATATAAAAAATTGGATTTAAATAGGGATGGTTTATTTGGTTAGTAATAGAATTCTTAAATCGATTTAAATTGAATAATGTATAATTATAATCAAATCAAATTAGATATAAAATCGAATGATTATGAGTCTTATGACTTTTTAAAAACAAAAAAAAAAAATCGAATAAAAAATAAATAAACCATAATTTTTTTAAAAAAATAAATATTTTTATCATAATCGAATCGAATCCGAACTAAACCAAACCGAATTAAATATAAAAACTGAACAGTTATAATTTTTCTAAACCCAAAATAACCGAACCGAACCCGATTAAGCCATCCCTAGGTTTGAATGTTTGTCGGATCGACCAATTCTAAAGTATTTGTATAGAATTCAACTTATCAACTTTTGTACACATACGGTAAAATCATTTATCTAAATTCAAAAATAAATATATTTTTTTTTGTAATAACAGATTCAATATGCCACGGTATATAGATCAGTTTCTTGGTGGCACACATTCAACATGTAGAATAAAACATTAGTGATATCAACCTACCTGTTTTCCTTTTTTTTTCCCTTCCATGGAGCTATTTTTCTCTAATAAAATTTTGGTGCTAATCCAAGGAAAAAAAATAATTTATATTCAATTGCGACTACTTGCTAGGATTTTTGTTGGAGATTCCAAAGTTACACAATCTAATTTGTTACAAATTTTATAGTACCGAATAAACCATTTTTGAACTGAACCGGTAAAATTCTAAATATAATCCCGAAACATCCATCCCTACTTTTCAATGTATAAATTAACAGAATTTACCTTAGATATATTATTTATATTTCAAAATATATTACGACAGCATCAATGATGACATTATACGTAAAATATACATTATGTAAGGTTTTCAATTCCAAACATAGTTTAAAGTATAAAATCCATAAAAAAAATTTAGATGAAAAATAAATTTCATTTGAAAAATTTATTTTTAAACTTGCAAAATATGTGATTATAATTCTCGAATTTTTTTTAATTGATATCAGAAAAAAAAATCTCGACAATATTGATTCAATAATTATTTAAAAATTATAATGATATATTTTGTAAATTTAAAAATTATAATGATATATCTTGTAAATTTAGAAATAAATTATTAAAAACTAAAAGTATTTTTTTTTATGGATTTTACATAAAACCCATAATATAATGTTTTTTTTTATGTTTATTAGGCCCAATTTAGCGTTTCATATAAGAAAAAAAAATCTTGTTTGGACCCATTTCAAAGTGGACTCATAATCTATTTTAGGCCCATTTTTATTTCATATAACAACTAATAAATAATACATGCACTAAGCGAAAACATTTCTTAAAACAAAAAATTATTTCAACGTCATTGTTGCTTCCTTAAGTTTATAATTCAAACACGGTTTCCTTGAAACAACAATTACTGGTCACAATTTATATATATCAAACATTTTTATTCTCACTCACGCTTTTCTCTTTTCTCTTTTTAGCCATTCAATTGGTTGATCTTATAAATTAATGGTTAAAAAAAATATTTTTTAAAATGTAAAAATATAAAATGATTTGCTTAGACTTTTTCTTGTAGAAGAAACATGTAGTGGTGGAGAAACACGATTCTATAGATATCTAACATATATATTGTAGCTGCGCAATTCCCAAATTCTCTCAAATTCCAGTGACGCTCGATGAATTGAAGCCGAATGCTAATGAACAAAGAATACAACAGATTTTACGAATTCGGATCTTTAGATCCTACGTCTCGGCCAAGTAGTTTGGCGAATTCATTAGAGGTGATTGAGTTACAGCTTGAGTGAATTACAACGCTCTCCCGAAACCCCAATCGTAAGAACCCTAGAAAGAAAAAGGACCCCAGAAGGAAAAAGAATTACAGTCGAGAAAGAAGAAGATCGATTCTCTGTTATAATACCAGAGCTCGTTACAACGGAAAAACCCAACTAACTCTCCAGCTGAAATTACCCCTTAGTTCTTAAACCTTTACACGATTTGGAAACTTTCTACAGTGCAAGCATATCCCCACATATATATCCCAATAAATCGTGGTCGAGTGGTTATAGTGTGGTTGGAGTGTCATTTGTACTCGGGGTCCCATGTTCGATTAATCCGGATGAATGATACAATTTAATTATAGTAAGATTGTCTTACGGTTTATGATGAATATAGTTGGATTGAAGGTCTAGTGAATAAATCTGAATACTATATATATATATATATATATATATATATATATATTCACGTAAGAACGAAATTGTAAAACTGACCAATAAAAATCATTCAAGGAAATTTTGGAAGGAACGAAAGCAACGTGGAATCTGAAGAATATGTACAACTTGGTGGAGCTTTCCATTACATGCACAAAATCCAAAGTTTGCAAAAATCATCTAACCAAGTCATGCCATATCCTTTGAATATGTACAGAAGATGGTGATGACGATATGATATTGAAAATGTATACACACATATATACATGTATCTACATATATGTACACATATATATAAGGTAATTGTTTATTTTCCTTTGATATTGTTGTGTTTATTTAATCTTAACGCATATATATATATATGTATATATATATAATTAAGCATGAAGTTATAACTTATATATACAATAAGATTTTATGTATAGGGAGTTCTTGATTACTTACAATATGGGACTAATATCAAGAATATGAATTGTCTCTATGGAAAAAACAAATGGGCTTAAGATATGAGAAAGTAACAACGATAAGTGAAGTTAACGAGGATTTTACTGTTCCATTGCCCCAATTTGGTTTGTCTGGTCCCCTTCCAAAATTCACAGAAACCCTAACTAATTCTCTTTCTCAATATAACTACTTATAATATATATATAAATATATGCATTTTAATACCCAAACTATTTTTTACTACGTATTTCAATATTGTTAGCGTACTTTAATATCTCAACTTTTTTTCCAAAGCACATTTTAATATCCATTTTTTTTTCTGTCGTTCAATATTTTTAAAAATATATTATATATGTTGATATATAACATGTCATATGTTAGATGTGACATGGAATGATGGCATGATACATAAAAAAAGTAGTATAAAAAATCTTAATGGATACTATAAAATACCATACTATAACTTTTCTCACCAAATCACGTAGTCGTTCAATATTATCACCTCTAATGTGATAAACATCTCAATTCTGACATATTGCATTGGTAATTTTTATTGAAATTTTGTTGTAAAAATGAGACAAATCGTGCTATATATAAAAAAAATTTGCAGTACATTAAAACAAGCAGAAAAAAAATTGGGTATAAAATATGTAAATGAAAATTTGAGTATGAAAATGCATTTATCTCAATAAAATATGATTATGCTTAATATAAAATCGTCCAGAATATAATTAAAGAAAGAACATCCAGATCTTGGTTAGGTTACCAAAAAACAAAAAGAGGAGAAGAAGAAGAAGAAGAAACTATTCGCCATAGTCCACACTCTTGATGAAGTGCGTCGCTTACAAGGCTCCTACTAGGGTTTCCCGAAGTCACACATAAAACCCTAAAACGCTTCACAGCCCTCTCTCTCTCTCTCTCTCACTCTCTCTCTCACACACACACACACACGCGCGCGGGCGCGCGCACAGAGGAATATGAAACGAAAATATGGGACTTTTGTTTAATATAATAGAAACCCAGATTAGATCTGATCACGGGAGGCGCAAAAGAAGTACCTTTCGTGGGGAAACCAAACCTAAAAAAACCCTAATTTGGAAACTGAGATGAAATCGGCGAGGAGAAAGCTAGGGTTTTTACCGGTTTAGGGTGCGACAGTCAACCGGTGAAACTGCAAACATGATCTAAATCGAAACATCCTCCTGTTGGATTGAACAACAAAAGGAAGAGGGAGCTTAGATCATGCTGGCAGCTTCAACAGATGCCGGTGCTCCATAGATCCACACTAGGATCGATAAAAAAGGAAAAGAGATCTTTCTTTCTTCCTTAATTTCCAACGTTTTCTTACCATGGAATTCTTGTGGTGCTTTCTCTGGTGAAGAGAAAGAGAATAACAAGAGGTCCTATAAATAGAGGGCCGGGGAAGAAGAGGAGAGACTGTGGGGGTTCTAGAGGCATCATATGAATTAAAGGGGTTATTTTGTAATTAGATAAAAGTATGTGGGTAGATATGAGCAATATGAGAAGAGAGGAAGGAAAAAAAACACAAAACAAAAGGGAAAAGGAAAATAAAAGGTGGTCCAAAGTGTTGCCATGAACGAAGAATTGAATAATATCACACCCAATACACTGCCCTCACGCAATTCTATATAGCCGATGAGACGAAAGATTATAGTTTGTGTTTTTTTTTGTTTGTATACATTCTTTTATTTATTAATTTACAAAAAAAATGCATAATCTCATTTTGATATATAATGTGATATAAAGGGCATTGAATATATGTATCCTATATATATATATATATGTATATGATTCGATATATAAGAAAATTATATAAGCAGTGGATGACTCACCTTCAATCTAATTAAGAAAATAGATGCTTTGACTAATGTTAGACCTAAGCTGTTAAAAACTAAAAAAAGTGAACCTAACACATGCATAAAGCATAGCCTATGGAGGGAGTCTCAAGATTAAAATACACATGAAGCATCACCCTTGCAGGTTTGAATTCTATCATCATTATAGGCTCTCTAACTCACATAATTAATCATAAACCATATATATAGTGAAATTATATAATTAATTTATGTAAATATTGCAAAAAACAAATGATTCCGTGTAGGTGTAACAAAAAATGTAATACATATATATGGAAATGTAAGTATTGGCGGGAGCACATGCACCCATTTGATTGATTAAAAACTCTAATTTCTTTATAAATTTTACATAAAATTGTTTAATACCTACATATTAAAATTAAATTTACCTCTATATAAACTTTTGCGATTATATATTTTCATTATTTTTTTATATATTTTACATGTATGTCGAGTGAGAACATATTTGATAAAAAAAAAGACAGATAAAACATAAATTTATAGGTTATAGAAATTTATTCTCTTGTAGTGTATATATACACACACACATATATGTGTGTATATATGTATATGTCTGTATATGTAGAGTGCATAACTAAACCACTTTCCTCAAAAGATTCCTTATCACAACCTCAACGATGATACCTTTTCTTTGCAAAAATTACTGTAAATTCGCTAGTTTTTGCCCAACCTGTTGGCCTGTGGCAGCACCACCGTATTTGCAACCTATTTGAAAATTATCGATTTCGACAATCTTTGATAACGACCTTTTGTATATTTTGCACATCCTCCACATATATACATATATATATATATATATGTATATATATATATATATATATCTCATTAGCTACAACTTCTTTTTCCTATTTTCTTGTTTGGTTTGGTACCAACTCTACATGATTGAAGCAAATCAAGGAGAGAGAGAGAGAGAGAGAGAGAGAGAGAGAGAGAGAATCTTTGCGCTTCATCGCGAAGTAGGCTTGTAACATGCCGCATGTTCAATCATGTATGTTATAATATATCCTCATGCACATTGGCACACATACATACGTATATGAACACACACACATATATATATATACGACTACTACGCGACATTGCCAAACGTATGAAAATATTATATAATCCATGTAAAAAAGTTTTTTTTTTTTAACATTGTTACATGAAAAAATAGCGGAGTTTTCACCTGCGCTTTTAATTATCTTCCGATTTCGAAATGGTCCATGAATACAGAAGTAGATCGGCTATAAATATAGACATATATATTAATAGGTTAACAAAAAAAATATATATATAGACATAATATATGTTATAAGTACACTGTGCATGCGTATAGATACAGACATATATATACATATATAACCCACGATAAGAGTGAAACAAGCGTGCTTACATCAACTGGGAGCAGATACAAACGTTGCTTTCCAGCTTCATTGATGCATCACCCACATTACTGCCACTGCTACATGCACAATACACACACACACATATATATATATATAAAGATGTTGATGATGATAGTGACGGTGACCATAATGGCTATTTTATCTGTATATATGGGCGAATTTTATACCAAGATCAATCATAACAATTTAAACCTAGCTATTCATATAAAATTAATCAAAATTAATATTAAAAAGGCATCGGTGGAAGGAAATGTGGTTAATCAATTTTTCCTCTAAAGTTGTTATGTTATAAGTACACCATGAAATCAAGTGTCACTCATTTCTTAAAAAAAAATTTAAGTTAGTAAATCTCTTTTTATATTTTAGTTTCAAAAGCATTTGCAATCTCCCCCCCAAAAAAAAATACATAGGTAGTTGAATAGGTGTATTTTGTGGGGATGTAGGGTTTACTAAAACGGTGACGTTTCGGTGGGTCGGCGTAAGAGTGGCAGTGACTTGCCAGTTGTGGGGCTGAGTCTATGGCCGATGCATGGTCCCCTTTGTGTATTTTGTGGGGATGCATCTATATGAACGAATATTTTCATAGACTAAATATATATATAAATATATGTAATATAAAGTATTTATTTACATTAGCACTGTGGAATTCCAATTTATGGTTCTACATGTTCTTTAGTATGCTTTTATTAGTTTTTTAATTAATTCAACTGGTTATATCTCCCAAAGTCCTTATATGTAACTATTTGGTGAGCATAGACAAGCGCAGTTAACCCAATATTATATATATATATATTTAGAATTTTAAATAGGGGTGTCAATGAGTCGGTCTGAAGGTTTTGGACTTGGTTCGGACCGACCCGATTTTTTCGAGTCTATTTAACTAAGCTCGAATTCTGACCATATATATATTGAACTCGGATCGGACCGGACTGGGATGGGCCGACCCGCAAAATTTCCTTCGTAAATATTATTTTTTAAAAAAATATTGGGTTTTTAGACCGGTCTGAATCAAATCCGAAACCCAATTTGAATTCGATCTGGAAGTTCGATTTTTTTAGCCGGAAAAATTTAACCGGAAACCCTCTAATTTTCGGTCTAGACCGGACTTCGTCCTCATGCCTAAATTAACATTCCTAATTTTAAGCTCACTACAGGTTAGTGAATAAATTCGTGGGCTTGGGCTTGGGGTATAATAGTGGTTCAACAGTATTCATTACAGACGTACAGGAGAAATCCGAATTCTGTTTTCAAACGGAAACAGAATTCGGATTTCAAATTCAATTTCTGCCGACTCAACGGAATTCAGAGAACGCTTTCGATTCCGGCTCGCGCCTCATATAAAGCTTATCGTTCAAGCAAACCCACCAAATTCATTTCAAATTTTCAAAATCACTCTCTCTCTCTCTCTCGCTCTCGTTCTCTCAGTTTGAATTCTGATTACCGAGAATTTCTTCTGCCAAAGCGAGGATGCTTGCTGCTCTCAAGTGAGTGATCGATCTCTGTTCTATGATTCTTCTCCACCTATCAGATTTGGTGTAAACGTTCGCTAATTTTTGTTTGTTCCGTTTCCGATCAAAGAGCTGAAGAAGCGAGCCAGATGCAGCTCGTTGAACGGGAAGAAATTGACGACGACGAAGACTTATTTGAAGCTATTGACAAATGTAAGTTCCAATCTAACAGTCACTTCTTATCTGTGCGTCTGTAATCATACGGTTTTAGGAGACTCAGTTTTTGCATGTTTCCTGGTGATTTCTCGTGAATCTTCTTCAGTTTTCGTTCTGGTCTTCATACTCTGTTTGGGAGTGGTCTCTTAAGCTGCATCAGTTCGGATCTGCAATGGCTCCTTAGCATTTTCAGCATGTTATAGAATCTCAGTTAGATTTCAGTAGAGGTTGGTGTGAAATAGAGTATAACGATTGAACTCTCTGAGCATTAAAATCTGTTTATACGAGATATTTTCTGGCACAGATCCATATAGGCTTGCCTTGTTCAAATATTATTCGATTTCAAGTCTGTCTGAATGATTAAGCTTCCTGTCTGGCATAAACTTGTAGTTGATTTCATCCCCTGCTTTGATTTTCCTCTGCCAGTGATCGCTCAAGGTATAAATGCTGGAGATGTTAAGAAACTTCAAGATGCTGGGATCTACACCTGCAATGGCTTAATGATGCATACCAAAAAGGTATAGACAAACTTGTTTTTAGCATCACGCATTGCCTTCAGTACTGTAAGACTGTAGTTGCTTGAAAATGTTGCTTCCATTTCTGCAGAACCTTACTGGAATAAAAGGTTTATCAGAGGCCAAAGTTGACAAGATCTGTGAAGCAGCTGAGAAGATAGTGGTTAGCATTCAATAATCATCATTCCTGGTTTGCCTTCAGTTTTCATCATTTGTTGGTTTTAATCGTCTCAATTTTTTGCCCTTTAGAATTTCGGGTATATGACTGGAAGCGATGCTCTGCTAAAGGTTAGACTCAATAATTTTACTGCATTCTGGAAATCTGTCTTCCATTGTTCTTTGTCATTGTGTTACCTGATCTCCTTGATATGACCATTCAATTTAGCTTTGAAATCTATGAGTTGTTTTTCCCCTTTTGTTAGAGAAAGTCGGTAGTTCGGATCACAACAGGGAGCCAAGCTCTTGATGATCTCTTAGGAGGTAATACTGTAGTCTGTTTTCACTGTTTTCCATTGTCATGCCTGCATTACCGTAAGTATTTTAAGTTAATTTTCTCGGTAATGTTTGAGCAGGTGGAATTGAAACTTCAGCCATCACGGAAGCTTTTGGGGAGTTCAGGTGAGAACCAAGCTCGTCTCTTAAAGTTTCTCCTGAATAACATGTTATCTGAGAGTTAAAACGATCCGAAATTTGCTACAGGTCCGGGAAAACACAACTGGCACATACCCTCTGTGTTTCGACGCAGGTACTTTCATAAACCTCCTTCTGTTCTGTATATGACAAAATGATCATTTTTCAGTCAAAAGGCATGAGCTGCTTATTTTCTTTCAAGCATATAATCATTGATGTGTGGTTACTCCTCATTTATGTCATTGATGTTCTGCAGCTTCCTACAAACATGAAAGGCGGGAATGGCAAAGTGGCTTACATTGATACAGAGGGAACTTTGTATCCTCTATCAGTTACCCGTTGTGAAAACGTTGGCACTTGCAGTTTATAATTTCTTTCTTTAGTTATTTTTTGTGACATTGCCCTTAACCTCCGAAATTTGTAGCCGGCCTGACCGGATTGTCCCAATAGCTGAAAGATTTGGAATGGATCCAGGAGCTGTGCTTGACAATGTAAGGATCCTATCATATTCTCACATCGTAATGCATTTGGCATCAATATTCACCTACACCTTCACATTTGTTATCTTCATGCGACAGATCGTTTATGCCCGTGCTTATACATACGAGCACCAATACAACCTGCTTCTTGGACTAGCTGCAAAAATGTCGGAAGAACCATTCAGGCTTCTGGTGAGAACCTTTGTTTGCCACTCTTCCGTTTCCTTTACAACACATTTCGCATATAAATGAACTCGTTTTTCCGGGTCCAAATTTTTACAGATTGTGGACTCTGTCATTGCTCTATTCCGAGTGGATTTCACCGGAAGAGGGGAACTTGCCGACCGACAGGTTGTATATCTAAAGTCAGCCTTTATACTCCTCGTAAGCGAAATCCAACTCGCTAACAGATGCTAGTTTGTGCTGCAGCAAAAACTAGCACAGATGCTCTCCCGGCTAATCAAAATCGCAGAAGAATTCAACGTCGCTGTCTACATGACAAACCAAGGTAAACCCCTGAAGCCGATAACACAATGATCAATTTTCAGGTTCCTACTCAATATTAACGGGTGTTGTTGGGGGTTGCAGTCATAGCTGATCCAGGAGGAGGAGTGTTCATATCTGATCCAAAGAAGCCAGCGGGAGGGCATGTCCTCGCTCACGCAGCCACCATCAGGCTGATGTTCAGGAAAGGCAAAGGCGAACAGCGTGTCTGCAAAGTGTTTGATGCCCCAAACCTGCCTGAAGCTGAAGCAATATCCTTTAGATCTCTTTTATTTTTTCACCCTCTCATGTTTTGTTCGAATCATCCATCCCTAATATGATTTTCACTTAACAGAAAGAAGCACATTTTCCAGATAACCCCAGGAGGCATTGCCGACGCAAAGGACTAGCCATGCTTGACGATACAACCTTATCAAACCCGGTGATGTTCGCACCTTCACAACTTTTTTTTTTAAAACTTCTATTACTTATAGAAACACAAGGAAATGATCAGTGTCATGATTGATGCATGCACCGAATCACAATCTTTTATTCTTAGCCTTCATATTCGACCAAATACAGCTTGCGTAGATAGAAACAAACATTATCCAAAAGTATATAAGAGGGAACTTGTTGAACAACAACCCCGAAGGAGGAGCCTCAATACCTCAGATTTGTTGAGACCAGTTCTGGACGCTGCCGACCCTCGGCATTGCCGATTCTTTCTTGGCCTCCGAGTCCACTTTGAAATTCGCACCGCAAACCTCGCCCGAGCTGTCCACCCTCGGGACCGGCTTCAACTCATTCATCGGATGCTCGTAGCTCCTCAACCCTCCAGACGACGTAAAGAAACACCCTAACAAACACAACGTTTCCATTAAGGCAAAACTCCTTAGCCTTCGTCCAAGATAAAAATCAAAGACGGGTTTCTCCATACCTTTAGGGAATGGGGCAAATGATTTTCCGCAACCTTTCTTCACAATCTCCACATCATCGGAGATAACGAGATGGCCTTCGGCATCGGTTCCCCAGAAGAACGGAACACTCCCATCCGTGTCCTGTGAAACGACATGTTTTCAGAACATATCTCACAGAAACACATTCTTTATAAATCAGCAGCTCGATGATCCGGAGATGGATCCCACCACAAGGTTGTATTGCAGGCAAACCTTATCTCCCCTCAAACACATTCTCTATGAACATATTAATATATAGGAGTAGCAAAGTGTCTCCACACATACCGCAGCGAGGAAGACGGTCTTGGTGGAGAAATCGAAGAGAGTAAACGAGAATTTCCCGTGAAGGTCTCTAACGACTTGGTCGGCGGGGTAAGGACCACGGTCTCTGAGGGTTCTGTAGGCTTCCATCACGATGGAAACCTCGGTCGATGTTTTGCCAAGGCCGTATTGTTGCTTAAGGAATGCAACATTCTCAATGTGGCCTTTGAATACGCAGAAGATATCGTCCACCACAGCGAACAATCTGTGTCACATTTCAAACAAAATTTGATCCTAAAAGGTCACATCCTCTCAAAAAAAAAAAAAAAATCGCCATACGAAAATACGTAAAGAGTGATCCAATCAAATCCTATAAACCCTAAAAAATAAAAGCCTTTGATGGATTTTCTCATGGATCAGATCAGTTCTACAAAAGCCAAAAATCTGAAACTTCCCAGATGTAAAATCAATTTCATTTCTTTAACCCGAATCTCTTGCAGGCAATCAAACAAAGTAAAAATTGACAAATCATTAAAGAAAAAAAAGAGAGAAAGATCAATGATGATACATGGGAAGAAGAGGGTTAGGGTTGTGGAGGGAGTAAGAGAGGAGGCCTGAAGATCCGAAATTGACGGTAACGGCGCCGGAGTGAGCGGCGGCGAATTTTTCCGTCAAAAACCCGTCTTTGAGAGCGCACACCGATCCACCCTCCGGACTCCGTAGAGCCTCCGGACTCTTCCCAACCGTTTTCTCGAATATCGCCAACATCTTCTTTTTCTTTTCCCCGATCACAACAACACACACAGAGAGAGGAAAGAGATACAAACGGGAAGTCACTTCGGATCGTTGAATTTGTTTTTTTTTTTCTTTCCTTTTTATAAAAAATCCTTTTTTGGGGAATTTTATTTGCTTTTTTGTCATTGGCCAGTTTCTTTTTATATTCTCCTCTCAGATGTTTCTCCGGTTTCTCCGGCACGTTTTCAGATGTTTTTTTTTTAATTTAAGTTTTGAATTTTATTTTGGTGATTTTCTGTGAGACGGTCTCGTGACACGGTAATATGTATAAATTAGATGATATTATTATATAATTTTATATTATTCAAATTTAATCTAATGGTAAAATTTTAAATTGAGATTAAAATATGAAAAGATTCTGAAATCGTAAAATATGTACTAATTTCCATCATTGTCATCAATTATAGAAATTTATTTTCTAGGGGCTTAAAAACTAGAAAGTCTCCTGAAATCGTTTAAAAAAAAGCGTCAGTAAAATTTGCGCATTCAAGCGTCACTAATTTGTGCAGTATACCGCTTTCAACCTTTTAAGAAAAAAAAAGAAAAGAAAAGGTCGCATCTTTTTTACCCACAAAGGCCTCTGCCATTGAACAAAAGGAAAGCAACAAAACCCTAATTAGGGTTTTCATTATTATTATGATCAGAGTCAGACTCGGTTGTATGCAACAGACTTGCTGAAGAGCTTGCGGATATACAGGACCTGAAGGCCACTGGCTGCGGCCAGAAGCAAATACTCTCCCACAGTGTAGAATATCACCCTCTTTCTCGTGCTCTCGTTCGCTGCGTCCACAAGTTCCAAAAGATTATCGACCGTAAAACATGGAAAACGGGCATTGGAAATGTAAGATCTTGAAGCTAGAATGGAACAAAAAAAAATGAAATGTGAAGAGACCACAGAAAATAGGAGCAATCTGAAGAACCATGTTGGGAATTTTGTTTCTTGATTTGAATGTGCAAAAGGGCACAAAAACACCATGCTACTGAATCCACTGTTCATGATTACCAAGTCCATATAGACGCAGTCTAACTTGGGAAACAAAAAAGAAATTCAACTATTCATATTATCAAGGAATTGGAATGTGGGATCTTGAAGATTGAATCTCTTGGAACCAAAAAAAAACATTGAATGTTAAGAGATTTCACAGAAGTTGGTTGAAGAATGGCTGAAATTTTGTAAAAAAAAAATTGAGTTGAATGTACAAAAGGGCAGTTACGAAATTTAAAGGGTATAATCACATTGGAACTGAAATCAACTAAACATGATTATCAAGTGTCTAAACATCCAAACCCCCCAAGAAAGGATAAAGTGTGTGTGTGTGTGTGTATATATATAGATGCAGTCTAACTTGATGGGCTAAGCTAAGTTTAGTCAGAAGAATTCGATCAAATGCAACTCATGATATATAATATAGTTCTGCTTCATTCACTCTATCAATCTACCGGACCCTCAGCAACTTCTTTACAGATCAAGAAAACACGACCATGATCGGGAAGGGATATAAGAAAGTTCGATTAAGTATCATAAGAAGAAATGAAGAAAGAAAACTCACTATGACGGTGCCGGGTATCACGTGCTTTCAGATACTTCTGCTCGGAGATAACGGATTCCAAAGCCTCTCTCAGCTCTGCAATCTTCACGTTTATCGGGTCCAAATGCTCTGGCAATTATATAAAGGAAAAAGATGAGGGGGGGTGAATGGAATTAAAACTGTTCTATTATCTATGGGGAATTGTTCATTGCAAGCAACGGAAGCATAAAAAACACATAGCAAAGCAGCAATTTTGTCAACATAAGAAACGAAATACATCCTTTTGTAACGGACCGTCTTTGGCTACGTCGTGTTCGTTGGGAATGTGGCCGACGTGAATATAGAAGGAGACAGTCTCTGGTGTAGAGTGTGGGTTGTGGAAACAGAATTTGTACATTCCACTTCTTGGGGCCTTGAACTCAAACTTATCCCCTGATGTTCCTTTCAAACTGTGCACTATATTCCCGGCAGGCGATGAGACCTATATGAAAATGCCACACACAAATCACGATAAGGAAAAAGATACCCAATGCGATAACAATCAAAAGATAGACAACGGAATATAACCCGTTGCCCCTTCTCAAGCATGACAAAAGATGCATAAGCAGCGAGACAGACGTCCCGCCATCAAAATTCAACGAAGAAATGCGGCGAACACTGATGTTAAGACTTGATAAACCCTTTGGCAATTCAGAACCACCATTCATTTCGATTAGAACAAAAGGCAAATCTAATGATAGATGAGACAGACATATGTCACTCATGGACTGTGTTTCATTACAAACTACAAAGACATGATCATAAAGACAGATGATAAACACCAATAGATATACACTTAATCAACTCAAGTGAAAGGCAAACTTTAGTCTCTGTCACTTATCAGACTATCCTCAATTTCCCGAGAAATTCAAAAGGGGTGTTCATCATGCCCCAGAAACAAAAATCACCCAAAATCAACCCTGATTCGCAGGAAACCCTAAATGGCGAAAACCCATCGAAGATCACAATAAGTCAAAGCTTGGAAATCAAAAATACAAACACCAGAAACCACATTGATCCCTTTTTTTCATTAAAGCACTCAAAATGATCCAAAAGAACCCTGGAAACTAAACGAACTAAACTTCAACCATCGGAATCAACGGACGAAAGACATCACGCTCCAGATCAGACCGAGCATCAAACCAAAGATCAAATCAGGGCTTACATCGAAATCAAGACCGGGATGATCTGAACCCCAGAAGATATCATGGTCGACGACGACGAAGTTTCCCGACACAGTGTCGCCTTCGTAGAGGACGTACTCGTAGACACATTCAACGTCGTTCACCGTCACCGAAAGCGACGAGATTTGTCCGATCGAACTCAGAAGTAACAGACCGACAAACGAAATCACATGGGCCCTCCGATCTATGGCTTGTCTCGTCTCCATCTTCCTCGTCTTCGAACAACTCTCCCGTTTGTTCCTCACCAAACCAAGAGCAAGAGGATTCTGTCACCGGTTCTCAAGCTCGAAATTGGTATATCGGACATTTCCATAACCGGTTTCTTATACAAAACGGTGCGTTTCTAAGATTTGGTCAACGGCTTTCGATCTGAACTCAGTCCACCAATTACTGACTATATATTATGTATTTGAATTATCGCTGGGTGTTTATTATTATTTTATTCATCTAAATAATAATATTCTATAAATTTTATTCATTTGAAAGATGTTACATAACAGATTTATATCACAAGTTAAAAAATCGATTACCAAAAATTGATATTCGAATCAACATCCGTGCATGCTATCATTCATTTTTGTCTTGAAAAATATTGTGATTATGTCAAAGCGGTTCATTGCCCGCCATTCCCCTTAAAATGAGAAAATTTCAATTATTATAATTTTATAAGCTTTTTTGTCTGAATTAAATTAAACGTGAAAAATATTTAAAATACGTAAGATATTTATTTCAAGCATCTCTTACCTTTTCAATGTTATGTTATGTCTGACTGTCTCTTCGGTTTTGGAATCACGAATATTGTGATTTTGACTCGCACCTTGAAAAAGTATCGGAAAAATACGTAAGATATTTATTTTAAGCATTACTATTTTGAATATTGTACTGTTAAATGTTTGACATTGCCAACATACTTAAAACCTGAAGAAATTTAAATTTTTTTTTTCACAAAAAATATCTAACTTGCATTTAAACAAATTCAAATTGTAAACAAAAAATAATTACATCAAAGTTTATTTTTGGCCCAAAATGTAAATAAGATAAGCTTATGGTAAACATATGACAAAATAAATAAATAAAAATCAACCCCTGATTAAATATCATGTCGAAATGGTTTATATTTATCACATAAATAGGACTGAATACATACATACATACATACATACATACATACATACATACATACATACATACATACATACATACATACATACATACATACATACATACATACATACATACATACATACATACATACATACATACATACATACATACATACATACATACATACATACATACATATATATATATACATACATACAATGATTCTGCAATTCATCTTAAATGCCATATAACATTTCAGAGACTGCAATGATATAAGCAACAGACGTTTAGAAACCTATATGCGGTCTATACACAAGTATATTGGCATATATACACAAAATACACACAGAATACAAAGAGATCAAATCACAAGCAACAGATTGAGCCTAAAGTTCACCGAGAAAGTGAATAAAGACAGAACACAAACTTTGTGGGGATGATTTTATATATATATATATATATATATATAAAGAAGCTTACTTTACTTACCACTAATCATAATTACTAAGATTTTGAAAAAGGGTTAAACCAAACATTTACATATATATTACTAATATGGAAAAAAAAAAAAAAAAAAACTAACGCTGCCACCCTTAGATTGCCTCCTCGCCCTCTTTCTCGCTCATCTTGAAGATAAAAGAATCAGAAACAAGACATTTCCGATTTGATGGCAGCTAACTCAAAAAACTATCAATAGGTAAACAAAGCAACACTACCCGAATTCATCAAAAGAGGAAAAGAAAAACTCAGAAGCTGTCAGGATATATGATTACTCTCTGATATACCCTTCTTTCGCCCGATCTTGATCCTGTTTTTCAGCAGCTAAAGCTCGGGTTTCCCGTCGTTTCCTTCCTTCGCCATTGCCAGCTTCGGACACCTTATTACCCTTAAACGACATCTCGGGTTTGGCGGGTCATCCATCAAATGTCTGAAACGTGACAAAAAATAAATGAGATGGGAAATCGTTTAAACTGTCGAATCGAAAAACGAGTGTCGGGTTTGATGCGTTAGGGCTCTTCCTTTCCTACCTTCACTGTTCAGATCTACCGAAAGATTGGAGTTTCTCATCTGATTTTCGGGGGAGTCGCAAAAAATACGGGCCATTCCAGGCGGCGGCGGCTGCTGCGGTGGAGAAGAAGATGTGTTTCCTAGGTTTGATTGTCCATATACAGCATTTAACCGAGCCTGGTTGCTCAAATACATCTCCAAGCTGGATGATCCAACTCCCTGAGCCTTTTTGCCCTTTGAGAATTTTCTGCTCACAAACGAGAACCGATGCGTTTAAGCTATGGAGTGTGAAAGCAATCTGGACAAGGCAGATCACATTATTACATGACACGATAACGATGATGTTTTTTCGGTTACTTAAGAGCACCTGTCCTTCCGCTTTTCAAGATATCTCTGCAATGATACCTTTCTGTTCACCTGACCCTCTACATCTTAAGAAAAGACCAAGAAATTATTAGACCGATGGGGATGTTAATTAAATTCCCAGTTTTTAAGCATGAACAATGATCAAAACAAGTTTTTCGAGCCTCCAAATAACTGCCATTATCATCAAATGGGCGGTTCAAAAGCAGGTTTGTTCAACTGGTTGTGCTTTCCCGAGTTTTGAGCAATCGTAAAGAAAGAAAATGGTGGTCTATATATCGTTTGGGTAAATATAAATTAAGCACTGTTTATACCTGCAGAATCACGAGAAGCCTTCTCAGGGCAATACTGAGGAAATTCCGCCATCTTGTCTGCAAATACGAGATTATAACCTCAGTTAGCAATCATTGGATCAAGTCCGATTCCATTAAAAGAACAATGGATGCAACAGAAAGTTAAACCAAGCAGCATTCTCTTTTGCAGAATGGTTCATACATTCAGACAGATATTAGAGACACGCCCTTTTTCATGTTTCGAGACTGAGCACGTTAGAAAGCCATTGTTTAGCGAAAAAGATTCAGACCCATTCTCTTTTGCAAGAATGGTTCATACATTCAGACAGATATTCTCAAACAGAAACGAACCTGAGCTAATGGGCTTGGACATTGTACCGCCGGGAGCGAAAAGCCCGCAACTTTCAGTCGTTGTCTGTAGATGAGATGTATGGGAACAAAGATTAGGGTTCCCACTGAACAGATCATTTCCAGGCAAATCAATTGGACTTGCTGCCATGTGCATGATTGAGCGTGCCTGCAAACCCATGTTCTTGATGCATCATCAAAAAAAATATACCATAAAGTTTTCATTTTTTCAGGCATGAATGGAATGATATTATTCACTACCTTTTCAGGCGGTACTCCATCATACACGAAAACTTTCCCACAATAGAATATCGTCAGCTGCCCAAACGTCGAGTTTGTTTCACCTGGACTTCTGCATGCGCATCATAAATACTTCTATTCAAAGCTCGAGATTTTAAATTAGACAGCATTGGTAGAGTGGCTGATTTGTACGGCATGCACAAGATATCAAGACCGTTGGTTATGGTAAGATATCCGATTCATTAACTGTCCTATAACTTCCTAAACGACAAGAACATTCACAGATCAGACACTGGGCAGGAAGATAGAAGCAATGATTTTCTGTTCATTGGGAAGGACATTTTAATAGTTTCTCTTGCTTTTGGTTTCACAAGTAACCGCCTTTCGACAATCTCTAACATCGGTCTCATAGGGTATGTTTTTCAACCTAACATTTCTCTATGACCGTAAATGAACTCATGGAAAGAATGTTTCTTTCTGTATCGGATGTATTTTAACCTAAATGACCAACTGAAAAATCTACATTGTCCCGATAATTTCCAATGATACATGCAACAACACAACAAAGACCTCGCAGTAGGGATCGAACTCAAATGTTGCTACGAATCACTGCCTTCTAGTTTAATCAAAACCCTTGACACAGAAGAGGAGAAGAATCACAGACATTCAACAAGAACAGACGAAAAGTGAACCTGGGAGATATTGTCCTGTAGCTATCCTTCTCTCCGGCATACTGGCCAGAGCCTCCGGACAACTCCACTGATCTCGGAGAATCCTTCCCGTGGTATGGGAAGTTATCATCTTCCGGCAACGGGACAAGACCCGAATCCTTGGTTGGCTCTGTCGAAGATGACATAACCTACGCACAATAGGTAAACAAAGCAACACTACCCGAATTCATCAGCAAAAACAACGAGTTCTACAGCTTCGTCTCCATTTCAAAACTCAATTCCCTCCTAAATCTCCTTCTCTAACACAAAGTTCATCTCTTTCTGTGCGATTTTACCCGGAAACAGAAACCAAGTCCAAGAACATACATGACATACATATGTGTATGCCCATGATAACACCGAATTAGAAGAAACACTCACGCGACGGGAAGTTTCCGGCTGAGAAACGAGGATCTTCCGGAGAACTCCGGCACCGGAATCGTCGCCGGGCTCCAACAGAGCCTTGAGGGAGAGAACTTGCTGGATCGCCTGAGATTTGTTCCACGAGGGTCTTCGCATTCCTGTCGCAACACGTGTCAGCCGCCATTTCCGAAGAAACCCAACACAGACAAGCTCAACAGGAACACACACGCACGCACGCACAGAGAAATTAGCTCAAATTCAGCAGACTCCCACTCCGGGAGTGGCAGTCCAGGGAAATACGAAGGGAAAGGAAGGGCAAAACGGGAAGAAGTACATGAAAACCTTTCTCTATGAGGTATTTGCGGCAGTCCTCGCGAGTGAGCTGAGAAATGTCCTCCTCGGTGAGGTGTTTGAGGGGCTTCTCGAGAATAGATTTCGCCGGCGACTTTCCGGCGTCCATCTCCGCCGCAAATTCCAGCGAAAGTACCTCACCGGAGCTCGCCGCCGGAGACCAGTGGCGTTTCCGTAATAATCGTGTTGTGATAAGCCTTGCGGTTTCTCGTGGTTGGACGCTACGTCAACTCGATGTCAACAACGCCTTCCTACAAGGCACACTTCATGATGATGTTTACATGAGCCAACCACCGGCCGACTTCTTGGATCGTGACCAGTCGTGGAAGAGGGGGAGAGGCAAAGAGAGAGAGAGAGGGGAGTCTGTGGGCTGAAATTTGGGGGAATGGTTTTAGGAGCAACGATGCACCCTAGGCTGCCACGTAAGATCCCTGTCCGTATGTATTATGGCCTAATGATGGCTCTTAAATGTACTCTTTTGCACTTAATCATCCCCTCTAATTACATCCTTGCCATTATCGAATAACCATTTAAGGAAAATAAACAATCCAACACGTTGTATTACTATTAACGTGCTCGCAATATTATAATTTTGTAAATATATATAGTATTCTCTTTTGTAAATCCCGAAATTTGATAATTTTAAATTTATGTAAGGCCCGTTTATTCTATTAAACATAAAAGTAATAAAAAAAACAGACCGGTTTATGGATTTTTTTTCTTTTTTGGTCGGAAATATTGAAAAGTTACATAGTTTTTTTTTCCCATATAATCATGAACTCCTCTGCAGTGTTAATTAAAGAAAAAAAATAGAGGTGCATTGCACAACACAAAGGCACATCTTCGATGAAACCATAACATATAAGTTATATAGTTCTTTCACAATATATAAATATATGATTTTGATTAAGCTATCTAATTAATATTAGTTCTAGTAAAATTATATATATATATATATATATATATATATCTAATTAATAGTGGTAATACATATTAGAAGAGCAAAATCTGCTCGTTAGTTATATCAAGAATATTTTATTTCCTAAACTTTAGCTACCAAACACTTGTATATATCTCTCCTTCTATCATTTGTAAATGATTATCAATACAAACATATTTGCTTACCTTTATGGTATCAAAGCAACAATAGTCAAAAGGCTCTCTTTCTTTTTCGGTCGTTAAACCCTAGTTTTTTTTTCGGCGCCGTCAACTCCATCCAATGGTTACCGACGGTAGCACTCAACCCCCGGCACCACCACCGGTCTTCCGACTGACACGGTGACACCATTCAACCCGGATAATCCAGCCAACACATTGATCAACGTCAATATGTCTAACGTCTCCAAACTTACGACAACCAACTATATCTCGTAGAGCGTTCAACTCAAGGCTCTTCTTCAAGGTTATAACCTTGAACATTTTCTCGACATCGATGCTGCTCCCTCCACCACGGTTACGACCAACAATGTGGTCACCGCCAATCCCGCATATGCTCCATGGTTCAGGCAAGATCGCCTCATCTTTGCTGCAATTTTCGGCTCTCTCTCAACATCATGCCAAACCATCATCGCCTCTTCCTCGACAGCAGGTCATACGTGGCACACTCTAGCCATAACTTATGGAAGATCAAGTCGAGGACATGTGAAACAAATCAAGGAGCAAATGCGTCGATTCACCAAAGGGACAAAAACAATTGACGACTACATGAACTTTTTCAAGGTCAAATCCGATGAGCTTGCTCTCCTTGGAAAACCAATGGATCATGAAGACCTCATTGACATTGTCCTTGCCGGCCTCGGAGATGAATACAAAGCAGTAAAGGATGTTGTCCATGCCAAGGACACATCGATTTCTTTCGTCGAGCTTCATGAGAAATTTCTTAATCATGAAGTCGACAACCTTGCAGCCCAATCTCTACTGTCGGACGTTCCCATCACTGCAAATGCAGCCAACTACAAGCCACGACAACATTGGAAGAACAATCCTCGCTCGCCATCAGACACCCGAGCATCGAGACCACAGTACCGACCTTCCAAAGGATACTTGGGCAAGTGTCAACTTTGTGGCACTCAAGGCCACAGTACTCGGTCTTGTCGTCTCTTGCGTTCCGGCCAAGGATATCCACCACTGCCAGCCTATGGTCACAACAACCCGACGCCAAGCGTCAATGCTGCAGCCCTTGGATCGGTCACTTCCTCGCCCTGGCTCCTAGACTCTGGCGCATCACATCATGTGACAACGGATCTTGCTAATCTGTCTCTCCATGCTCCATATACCGGCGGTGATGATGTGGTCATTGGAGATGGATCTGGTTCTATGTCACTTTCCTCACCTTCCCGCTCATTTCCACTCCATAATGTTCTTCATGTACCAAGCATGCACAAAAATCTCATCTCTATTTATCAACTTTGTGCTTCTAATGCGGTTTCCGTCGAATTCTTTTCTCATATATTTCAGGTGAAAGATCTCAACACGGGGGCAATAATCGCAAGCGGAAAAACTAAAAATGGTGTGTACGAATGGCCGATGTCTCTACCCATTCCGTCTGTTGTTCCTAGCTCTACTTTCTCCGCCTTTTCTAGTTTCAAGACCACTTTGTCCGAGTGGCACTCTAGGTTAGGTCATCCTTGTCATGATACTCTTCGAAAAATAATCTTCGGGTTATCGTTACCTTTGTCAAGCCCGTTGAGAAAATCATTGTTTTGCAATTCTTGCATGATCAATAAAAGCCACAAGCTCCCATTTCATGAGTCAACGTTTGTCTCTACCAAACCTCTCGAAATCGTCTTTTCCGATGTGTGGTCTTCGCCAATTGAATCTTTCGATGGATACAAATATTATGTAATATTTGTGGACCATTTTACTTGATACCCTTGGCTCTACCCTATAAAACGAAAATCCATGGTCTCCGACATTTTCATACGATTCAAAGCCATTGTGGAGAACCGATTTCAAACCAAGATTATCTCACTCTACTCTGACAATGGTGGCGAATATCTTGTACTCAAACCATTCCTTTCGAGTCATGGTATATCTCATTATACCACACCTCCCCACAACCCGGAACACAATAGGATTTCCGAAAGGAAACACCGTCACAATGTGAAAACCGGACTCGCTTTACTTACCCATGCGTCCATCCCACGTGAATATTGGTCATTTGCCTTACCCACTGCGGTTTATCTAATAAACCGCTTACCGACACCGGTTCTTGATAACCGATCTCCCTTTGAGTCTTTATTCAACCAAGCACCGAACTACACAAAGCTCTGAACCTTTGGATGCTTATGCTATCCTTGGCTTCGACCGTACACTCGTCATAAACTTGATAATCGGTCTTCTCCATGTGTATTTTTCGGATATTCCCTAACTCAAAATGCCTATCTTTGTCTTCACACTTCTACATCCCGCCTCTATGTCTCTAGACATGTCGAGTTCGTCGAGGACAAGTTTCCCTTTTCCTATTCAGTGTCGGATCATCTTATTCCCTCGGAGGACCCATCTCCATCGTCTCTAGTCACTTCCACTCTAGTTCCACTTCAGCACTCGTACACACCACCTGCTACGGTTGTTCTCCCAGGTTCGACTTCTTCACCTGATCCTTCCTCGCCGACCGTATCTTCTGCTCCCCCGAACCACACACTCTCCTCGCCAGACCAACCTTTGTCACCATCACCTCCTCGCCTCCATGAACCGTCCCCCGAACCTACAAATCGAGACTTGACTATGTTCGAACCTATAGTTACAACCCCGACAAATCTCAACATCCACCCCATGACAACACGCTCGAAAAATAACATCATCAAACCAACCACAAAAATCAGCCTTACCACCACTTTACAATCAACCAGTGACATTGAACCGACGTGTGTTAGTAAAGCCCTCAAGGATCCAAAATGGAGACATGCTATGCATGATGAGTTCAATGCTCTCCTCCGCAATGGCACATGGAGTCTCATCCCATCGGATCCTACCTACAATGTGGTTGGCTGTAAGTGGGTGTTTCGTACTAAACGACTTTCTAATGGCTCTATTGACAGGTACAAGGCCCGGCTTGTCGCGAAGGGGTTTCATCAAAGACCGGGAGTGGACTATAATGAGACATTTAGTCCCGTTGTCAAACCGGCAACCATCCGTGTTGTGATAAGCCTTGCGGTTTCTCGTGGTTGGACGCTACGTCAACTCGATGTCAACAACGCCTTCCTACAAGGCACACTTCATGATGATGTTTACATGAGCCAACCACCGGCCGACTTCTTGGATCGTGACCAGTCGTCCTATGTGTGCAAATTACACAAAGCACTTTATGGGCTCAAACAAGCACCCCGAACTTGGTATACCGAGCTTGGCAAGTTTCTGTTGGCATCCGGATTCTCCAACTCTTTGTCGGACACATCACTCTTCATTCTTCGTCATGACGATGTATCTATATATTTGCTTATCTACGTCGATGACATCATCATCACCGGAAGTCATCCCGAGGCTATACAACGCTACATCGACATCCTTGCATCTCGGTTTTCTTTGAAAGACCTTGGACACCTATCATACTTTCTTGGCGTGGAAGTTACCAACACGTCTCAAGGTATTCTTCTCACCCAAGAAAGATACATTACAGATCTTCTTACTCGCCATATGATGCAGGAGGCAAAGCCCGTTTCCACACCCATGTCGTCCACCATCAAGCTCTCACTTACTTCCAGAACGGCGCTTGAAGATCCGACACAATACTGACAAGCTCTTCGAGGTCTCCAATATCTTATGTTCACTCAACCGGACATTGCTTACGCAGTCAACAAGCTCTCTCGCTACATGCATCATCCCACATCGGAGCATTGGCAAGCCGTGAAGAGAATTCTCCGCTATCTCGTTGGAACACGAACTCGTGGCATACGCTACATGTCCTCAACGCCGCTCTCCCTCCATGCCTATTCGGACGCCAATTGGGGCGGCGATCTCGACGACTTTAGCTCCACTGGAGCCTACTTGGTCTACTTAGGTGGTCACCTTGTTTCTTGGTCTGCCAAGAAACAATGATTTGCCGCAAAGTCTTCTACCGTGGCGGAATACAAATCTGTCTCCTCCACGGCCTCGGAAGTCCAATGGATAGTATCCCTTCTATCCGAACTCGGTGTTACATTACACTCCACACCAGTGATCTATTGTGACAACGTGGGGGCGACGTATCTCTCCGCAAACCCGGTGTTTCACTCTCGCATGAAACACGTCGCGATCGACTACCACTACATTCGAGGCCTTGTTCAGAATCACAAGCTATGAGTCGCACATATTCCGGCTGGTGATCAACTCGCGGACGCTTTAACCAAGCCTCTCTCTCGTCTCAAGCTCGACTCTATCTTGTCCAAGATCGGGCTCTCCCCCATGCCTATCTTGCGGGGGCATATTAGATGAGCAAAATCTGCTCGTTAGTTATATCAAGAATATTTTATTTCCTAAACTCTAGCTACCAAACACTTGTATATATCTCTCCTTCTATCATTTGTAAATGATTATCAATACAAACATATTTGCTTACCTTTAATACATATGTATTTTTTTGGATAATCGAGAGTAGACCAAGATTCAAATTAATTTTGAGGTGGAGATCAATAATATGATTTGAAATATATGTCTTCTATTTGTTTTTGTAGAAAGTTCTATTTAGGGTAATCTTTTTTTAGCCAAGTGTCTGCCTAATGCATTGCCTTTGAAGGTGTTTATTATTGTTCTATGTGAAAATCATTAGTTTTGTTTCGATCTGATTAACACCATGAATGTTGGGGTCACTGATTTTTTTATTGATTGTCTCAAAAACAATGAATACGAGTGTTTTAGATTCTTTTGGCTCTTGATTCTCAAAACGAGGATTATGTTGCAGGTGCATATTCCATTAGATGAGGATAAACATATGCAGTGCGATACGGTTATATGGCTCTCTAATTAGTTATAAACATATATATATATATATTGGGATAAAAATAAGAGACGTATCTATATAGATTGAACCGAAATTAAATTTGTAGGTTAAAAAAAATCAATACTCTTAACAATTTTTTATCTCATAGCCGTCTTAAGGATTTGCAAATGGAGATATTGCACAGGGTCCCACCTTCAAGAGGGCCCCACATTTATTTATATATATTTGATAATTTTATTTTGTTTTACATATAATTAAAGATAGAACATTATTACCATTTTAATATTTAATTTTTTTTATATTTTAAACATAAAATTTAAAAATTCTATCATAAACTTTTAATTTATTTTTAATAATCTTTTTCTCTTTCTCTATAATTTAATATCTAAATATTAATTTTATTCATATATTGAATATTTATTTTTAAGTTTTATATATTTTTTCATTATTTTATATAAAAATTATCATTTATTTTCATTTTTATTATTTAATGTATTAACAATAATATTTTTATTTGAATTGTAAGTTTACATTTTTAATTCAATATATGTAGATAGAGTTAAAATTTGATATACTAAATTAAATTGATAAATTTATAGATTTGTTAATTATTTTTTATTTTATTTATTTATTTCTATATTTTTAATTAAATTAAAAATAAATTAAAAAAATAGTTTGTAATTTAATATCGTAAATTATATCGTATAGGGCCATTAAATTGTTTGAGACGGCTCTGCTTGATCTGAACAGTTGACTGGAAAAATAATACAGGTTTTGTGTTTTATTTTATCAGTTGAACTATAGATATTATATAGATATAGATATATAGATATATATATATATATGCATTAGAAAGGCATGGTCATGAATGTCTTTTATCTTTCATGGTTTGTCATTGTTTCATCGAAGCTACACAAAATATAATATATATAATGAAGACGGTCCATTTTCATGGAGAAATGAGCAGAGACCAACATGAAACGGAAAAGAACAAAGAGGAGAGATACATCACACCCGCTCTCTCTCTCTCTCTCTCTCTCTCTCTCTCTCTCTCTCTCTCTCTCTCTCTCTCTCTCTCTCTCTCTCATATTTTCCAGAAACTGCTCGGCGTGGGGCGTGGCCTCTTCCCTTCATATGGACACAGTACCCTCCCCCCATTCCCTTTTCTTCTCCTTATCAAAAGTTTTTTTTTTTTTTGCTTTTTCATAATTTCGAAAAATAATAATATAGAGGGAAAAAAAAGTACTGTCCTAATTTCCCCTTTATTTATTATCATCTCTTCCACTTTTCAGAAATTGTATGTATGTTTTTTTTTCAACTTATAATTCGTTAGAATCACAACAAACAACATTATATATATATATATATATGTGTGTGTATAAATAGATTTTGGAGGAAATAATTGAGAAGACAGTGGCAAGAAAGTGGAAAATTTTGAACAGTCGTTTTCCAAAACGGAACCAGGTCCATAAAATCCCAATCCAAACCCTTTCAACATATAAAGCTTTCCCCTGCCATTTCTCATTCACCCACAAAAATCCATCACTAAATTATTATTTGACATTTCAGGTAATTACTGCAATAACAAAAAATTTGTAGCCTTTTCATTTAATCTCTAATAAAATCTAATATTAAAAAAACAAAAAAAAATATAATAATATATTTTTCATATTTTTACTTTTACTATGTACATTATAGTTCTTCCATTATTTTTCGGAATATTTTTGCTTTGCTTCTGTCAATAAAAACAAATAAATAAATAAATAAAAAGAATAGTTAGTATGAGAGGCATCACGTTGGCTATGGGTCAGGGAGTCAGGGGTTGCTGCTGTTCCCTTCGTAGGGACACTGCTCAGAGACATCATAGGCCTCATCCCCTTCTGTCGTTTACCCTCTATTGGGCCGGACCTTGTTATTGGGCCTTGGCCCATTTTCATATCATGGGCCCTTCTTTTTATTTCTGAGACAATAATATCTTGGGTCTTGTTTGTAGATGGAAATGATGCATCCGGTTCTTATACATTGTTTGGTGTATTTTAGAATACGAAATTGTTTGGTAATCTCGAACACTCTCTTTTTATTCACAAAATAAAAACTATATAAAAATTTTCTCTAACACATTAAATTAAGAAACCTTACTATAAATATCAATAATCAAAATCACATGCATTAAGAAGCCTTACTATAACTATAAGGACGTGGTTTCAAAAGTTCAAATGAGTGTATGCATTATTCATTAAACGCATTAAACCATGAAATATCAAATTTAATTATATAAATTTTTATTTAAAAAATGGATTAATCCAAAAAAAACCTTAAACTTGTTAAAATCTTCTATATAAAACTCTAAATTTATAATCTTCTATATAAAAAATGATAAATTTTTAATTTCTGTCGAAGTTTTTACCAAATTTAAAGTTTTTTTTAGGAGATTAAAAGTTAATGGTTTACGGGGAAAATTTTCGCGAGTTTGAATTTTTTTTTTTGGATTAATCCTATAAAAAATACATATAATATTCTCCATTCCACAATCATAACTTCATAGAGAGGAGGATCTAAGAATCTACTGTTGACCCACCCCTTCCCCGAGCAATCTCTCTCTCAGCAAAACCCTGAAACCAGACAGTACTGGAAAAAAACTATATCGACAAAAAAAAAGGCACCGCACACTTTGTATCGGCTAACGTGCGCACCATCGCCGGCACTTGCTAATGGGCGCCGGGCTCCTTCGCCGCCGCGTCGTCTCCGCCGTATTTGCTCTGCTCTTCCTCTCCTTCTCCTCCGCCGTCTCTCTCCCCCATTTTGGTATGAACCCAATAAAAATCACTTCTTTATTTTCCTCAAAATTTCATCGAAATCAGTGATACTCATTCTCATAATTCACATTTAAATTAAAAAAAAAACTCGCTCTCAAATCGAGGTGTGCCATTCTTGATTCTTGCAACAACAAAAAAGAACCCAACTTTTCTCTCGGCATTTACCATCTACACGAACTTGTACTTATGTCCTGTTCTTGCTATGGGGTATGGGGAGAGCGAGTCAACTCGGTAGCTAACTGGTGGTCTCGAAACAGGAGGCGGGCTTGAGCAGGAGTGGACGGGGCCTGGTTACCCGGGTCGGATCCTGGTACAGAAACGGTTTAACGGACCGGGTTCGTTGCCGCCGACGTGTAGATCCAAGTGTGGGAGGTGCGAACCGTGTAAACCGGTTCACGTGCCGATTCAACCCGGTTTGAGTACGCCATTGGAGTATTACCCTGAAGCTTGGCGGTGCAAATGTGGCAATAGGCTTTTCATGCCCTGAAAATTTTAATTATTTAAAAGAATTTTATAAAAAAGATATCCAAAACCTTTTTTTTTTCTAATTTCCTGGTTAATTTTTAATTACAATGCAGTGAAATCACATATCCATGGGGGTTATAATTGCAAATTTAATTGTAGGCATTAAATTTTATTTAGTTTATTTAATAGAGAAATTTGTCATGCCAAATTAATTTGGTTTTGCCCCTTATTTTCGGACAACTCCGCCAACAAAAAAACACTATATATATATATATAACTATATCGTCGTGCATGTGTGTTTTGGACCCTTTGGTTTGTCCCTCGACAGCGCAGTAACTTGTCGCTACGTGGATTAATAATTTCCGTTTGATAAATTTTACTCATTGTTACTAGTAAATTAATTTTGTTAATGTAACGTTTATGCAAAAAGAATAATGTAGGGGAGTTCCAGCCTAATAGTTAATGACAACCCCTCTTATATGAGATTGTGGGTTCGAATCTCATATATGGTACTTCATTTGAACCGGTCAGCTTTACGAGGTTGGTTTACCTGCTCTGCGTGGTTTGCCGGTTACTGCGCAGGGCGGTAGGTTTTTTCAGGTCTGTGATGCTGTTCTGATGTCGTTCTCGTCCGGTCCATGGACTGAGAGGCATTGCGATGTCCGGTGTCCGACCCGAAAGGTTGTAGGATAGGGGTTTCCCATCGTAACAAAAAAAAAGAATAATGTATATAGAGTTTTGAAGAAGAACAATCATTTAATTGTTTTAACGACTCGATCCTAGTGTTTAGATCATTAACATGAAAAAAAAAACTTACCGAATATAAAAATATCACCAAATTGTTACCATTTTATTTTATTTTATAGAAGTTTAAAATAAAATCTCTATCGCCTTAAGGCCCAAAGTTTTGGGGGAAATATTATTTATCACTTCATATACATGCATACATATATATATATATATATAATACACTTTGTGTAATAAAATATATTTTTAGGAGAGATTCTTAAATAAAAGTACGAATGTGTCCCTTTTTTTCTCAATCAAATTTATAAATTCGAAATAATGTTGTTGCACGTAATTGATTGATTTAATCGTCCTAGTTTCCGTATGGAAAGAGTCGTACCAAAATTCATAATCAATTCCCAGTCAACGCCAGCTTCACATGCCCCTCGGACCTCTTCCACTCTTTGTTCTTGTAAAAATGTATACATTCGGCATCGTACGGGTTATTAGAACATTCATAACGTATACGACTTATTTCGTGCCCAAAATTTGATTTAATTTTGGTTAAATGTTTAAAGAAAATACTAGAATATGATTTACGGCAACAAATATATACATATAACTACCTAAATTTATTTATTTTTATATTTGTTCAGATTTGAAAATAGACATATATTTTTTTTTATTATCAAGAAACACGTAGATGGATCGGACCATAAAATTATATATCTTTGGGTTTTGCTTTGTGTATTGTCAAGTCAAGCATCCACCTTTTAAGGAAATAGTTTCAAAATTCGGTAAGATCGTTACTATATTTAAATTTTTCCGATTTTTTTATTTTGTATACGGTGGAAACCCGTATTCACAGTCTTTCGGGTCGGACGGTATCTCGGACAGTAAAACTTCCAACTTCGTGTAATAGTCGGCAAACTACGCAGAGCAGATAAATCAGGTGAAACTGACCGACTCAGAAAAAACTCAGACCTCAAAAGGAATCGAACCCATGACCTCTGGTATAGAGGGAGGGACTTATCATTTTAATTTTTTTTTTTTAGCAAAAATTATATTCTAGATTCGTTTGATCAGATTTTTATATATAGAGTTTGATTTAAAAATTGCTACCCTTATTTTCATAAATTTTTATAAACCTATTGTATAACATTTAAATAAATTCAGTAAAAAAAAATTGGGAATAATATTCCTCTTTGTTTTTTTTTTAAGAAACGCCTTGAATGTTTGGCCGTTGGCTTTTCTTTAATAATATATATTCCCATTTTTGTATAGAGAGATTAATTTAATTTATCAAAGTGTAATTAATGATATGGCATGAGGGCTTAAATTTCTGGAACTGGGGGGGACAAGATGAGGAGAAGACGGGCATGGTTTTTGTCTGCATGGATCCAATTATATATGTTTTTGTATTTCATGACAAAATCCGGTCGGTCCACCAGACATTCAAATCCATTTTGAATATTAAAATCTTTTTTTTTTTTTTTGTGTAATGCATACATCCACATATATATTTGATCACGTTTCCATATCTGAAATTTTTATTTGGTTAAAACAGGAGTCGGTTATGTTTTTGTTTTTTTGTTTAAATTTTAAAAGTGTTATCATTCATTTTTATATTAAAGTTAATTTCTAATAAGATTTCCAATATGATCTTCAAAACCTGTATATACAATATTGTACGCATGTTTTTTTCCTACAATTTTATTGCATGGATTTAGATTGTCCTTACACGCAAATTATTATTGTTTTTATAATTGTCGTATGAAAAAGATTGATTAACATTTGACCGAGACCACAATTGTTGTATTATTTAAAATAAGTTTCGACGTAAAATAGTAAACAGTAAACATTTTTTCAAAAGAAATTGTAAAAACTATCAAAGAGGTTTTAGAGAAACGAGATTGACGTGATGGATTTGGTCGGGCTGCTGGTCTACCATGTCGTATTTTTTTCAAGTAACTTATTATTCTCTCTCTCTCTCTCTCTCTCTCTCTATATATATATATATATATATATATATTATGTACACATTTAGTTTGGAAACGGGTATATAATAATATTTTTAAGAAACTTTATCCAAAAATTTATGAATCCGTGAGAAGAAATTTTAGAATATTAACCATAAAGAACAATAAATGTTTTAGGATATGGTTTTTAACCAAAAATATAAGTTGCGGTTTATGTAGATAGACGATATAAACAAAAATGCATTCTCAAATCTATTCTCATTATACTGCTGCTTTTTTTTTTCAATTTAAATTTCACATAATTTTAGATATTAATATCCGTGTTTCGGTAGGTTTAAATTAGGGGTCGACGTTTCGGTTCAATTCTTCGGATCCGGACCGAACCAAACCGAAAAAATGGTACTTTTTCCGACCCAAAACCGTTCTTAATTCCCGAACGGTACTATTTTTAGAGAACCTAATTTTCCCGGAACTGAACCGAACTTTAAAAATCCCGAAAAACCAAATATTTTTAAAGAAAATCTATCCTTTTTTAATAAAACCCGGAACCGAAAAGAACCGATACCGAAATCGAACCGAATACAATATAAAAACCGATTGTTACCTATTTTTGTAAAACCGAAAGAACCGAACCGATCTATTCCTTTCCTGAACCCGAACCGTTTTTCGAAACGCCCACTCCTAGTTTAAATACACCGTCCTACACTTGGAATCTTCAATTAATAACCTGCACTAAGACAGATGAATCTGCGACATGAAGATACAAAGGACTTGCATAAGGATCTAGGATCGAAGTAGCTGAAAGAAGTTTCTTCACCACAAGAGAGGTTGAATTTTCTGGATTCGCACAAGGATCCATCAAAGATCCGAAAAAAAAAAATCGAAGAAATTCAAAGGAGATTTAATGAAATCAATCAGAAAAACGAAAAAAAACGAAGATCGGAAGCTTTTTCGTTCTGATACCATAACAAAATCTAGAGGAAAACGAGAAGAAACATCCGTGGAACAATTTTCTTATATCTTATTCGAAAACAAAACAAAATAACAGAGGTTTTATACAAAAGAAAGAAAAACGCCAAACTGAAAATTCAAAACTAAACCAAAACTAAACCAGAGAACCAACCAAATCAATTAATACCAACACTAATTAATTAAACCAGCAAGATTCTTTCCCTGTTATGCACGAATATCCCACATGCATATATAATTCATGCCACGTGTATAATCTTATTTACATACATACGTACATACGGTACCTACATGCATGCATTGCATACATATATATATATGTTGGAATCCCGATGTATTTGGAAAAAAAAAAGAAGAGGAAATCGGTTCCTGTATATAGACCGTATGTGTGTGTATGTGTGCGCACTGTGCACATATGAAGGCTGTCAAATATATATATATATATATATATATATATATATATATATATATATTCGAATATATTTTTCAGAAAATAAGGGAAAATGAAAATCCGTGCGTGAATTACATTTATGATGAAAAAAGCAAAAATTGAAAATGGGTCTCAATGGGCCTTTTGTTGGTCTGATAAAACAAAATGCAGGCCCCATAGTGATTCGATTATTTCAAATATAGGCCCAAGTGTGTTTTATTTCGGCCGTTCAACACTTGAATGTGTTGCAATTTTTGTGATATTATTGCCTATTCAATGTTGGTTGAAATTATACAGAAAAAACGAAAATATTAGAAATTTATTTATGAAGAAAATAATATTATTAATTTATCACCGGGATACAATATGTTAACATGAGGGTTCAAATCTATTACCGAAGTAAACAAGAAAATAGAATTTTTTTAATTTCTTTATGTTTTATCTTTTTTTCCAATAATATAAAATAGAGTTATATTTTCTTGTAGAATATGATGGGCATTCGAATATTTTCTAATTAATATTGATGTACATTCGTGCAAAGAAAATCTATATTGTAGTTGTCTATTTCTTGGTCTAGTTAATACATTCTTTGGTATATTCATATTTTTTTTATTAGATTAATACCTTTATTTTATTTATGAATTGTAATCTAAGTATGTCCTATAGATTCTTTTTTAACCTAGCTAATTAGTTGTATCTAGCGGTTAAATCGCTGTATGCATACATAACAAAATAATTAAAAATTAGATTAACAATTCATTTTGCCATTGTATTAGATTAATTACAAAATTATATTCACAGCTTTATTGCAGACCAAATTCAAAAATTTAAAGATATCCCGAAGCTAGTCCAATCGGAATAAAAACAAAAGTTTGTTCAATGTGGATAAAACTTTACATTGATGCGTAAATAATAATTATTATAATGGTTTGATAAATAATTACAAATATTTCTTTTGACCGGTGATGCCAAGATAAGAACGAACGACGGCACCATAAAAGAAAATGAACCAAAGAGATATAGGGCCAATAGATTTTTTTTTTAATAATTCAAAAATTGACCGGACATTTAATCCAATTATATCTCTCAAAAAATCTGAAAACTCCGAATGAATATCTCTCTATATTTGGATTTAAATTTAGGATACAAACATGATGTTCTGTTATCACTAAATTACCTAGATTTGGATAGAGCCAATAGATTTATTTAAATAAAGCAAACAAAATTAAAAAAAAATACTTTATATTTATAATATTTATATAAACACATTATTGTATACATATATATTCCTTTTCCTTGAAATGGGTTTTTTCTTTTTTGACCATCTCAGTCCAAAGATTCCTTCTTTTGCTTCCTTCTTCACTTGTGAAGACAGACAAAAAATCCACTCGGAATCACAACAAACATGAGATGGGGCCTATGTTTATTTATTCCTCACTTTCATTACAAATCTCACATCACTGCTGTTTTTTTGTAATCACCACAAAATTAATCATAATTAGAAACATACTATTTATATGATGCAAAGTATTTACTTTGATTTATTTTTAATCCCAACCACCACTATTTTAATTTAGCTTCGACCATTAAATATTCTAGACATTAATATTTCTGTATCTCTATAGATTAAAATGTCATGATCTCTTCTCATTATATTTACTTGTGTTTCATTATTTCACTATTAAATATTCTAAACTTGTGTTATCATACTCAAGCATGTGGTTGTGTACATGAAACTAACCATATGATTGATTCCCTCAAGAATGAGATATTCCCCATTAAAATTGAGACAAAAGCAAGAATATTTATCTTCCCAAGAAATGTGGATATGGACCCACCCCATTAAAACTTAGATATATATATATATATATAACATTTTTACAAAAACACCAAAAAAAAAAAGGAAATAGAGAACATGAAATTACGAACACCCACTAACATTTTTTTTTAGCAAAGTCCCCCCTCCCCCCAACCCCCCACTAATACTATCGTTAAAAACTCTCGCCAATTTCATTCTATACCCTCCCCCAAAAGAAACCCTCTAAAAGGAACCCCTAAACTTTCTCCAAATTCTACTTTGACCCCATAAGTTAAAAACAACACCCCCCATAAAAATCATTCAGATTCTACATCTGTTGTTCCTCTCGGCTGCGACAGCAAGAAGCCTTGCCACCCCTTGAGTCCACACATCGTACTCCCTCTGGCTTCGGCATTCGAATTCCACAACGCCTCGTAAAACCGTCTTCAGGGCGAAATACCTGAAATCCTCCCCGCCCTCGAGAAGATGGCGGCCGGGCCAAGCCGGTACATTTTTTATCACCTCAAGCACTATGTCTGAAATGTAATTTCCAAACCATCAAATGAAGAAATTTAAAAAAGAAAAAAGAAAAGAGAAAATGATTGTTTATAGGGTCATCATAAACCAAAGTCTTGCAATTCACAAACGTTAGGGTAGGAGATATGATTGAGATAAAATTTATAAACTTTGGACCCACGAGTGAGACAAAAAGTAAAAGATCACACCCTTTTTTTTTTTTTTGATCCTTTTAGTTACTTTAGTTCATATGCTTTTGCTTTTTTTCCCCTCCCACAAATCCCCAAATCCGAAGTAGACCCACATCTCATCAGAGCTTTGAATCCTCTTTTTTTCAAGGGCTCACATATTATTGATAGTATATGGTGACAAAATTGAAGTCTTTATGAGAACAACACATGCCAAAAAACAGAAAGAAATTCTCTGTCACCAAACCCATTTCCACAATCTTGAAAATGTCTTGTTTTTGGGGTTTGGGAAAAAGGGTTTTAGGTCTAAAAAATGCATCTCCTTAATTTCATGGAAATTGATTACATGGAATGAGATGAGTGATGGGTTCTTACTCTTTTTCTTCTTGGTGATGGTCCCTGCAACATGTCTGCTCTTCATCTTCAACATAACCTTCAATCATCAACCAAAGAAATATGCATAAACAGTGAGGAAAAGTATATCTCATTACACTTCATCATATATGCTTTTAGCTTTTTCCCCCTTCTCTTCTTTTTTTACCGTTCACACATGTAAAAAGACTAAAGTTTGCATTGATTCACTAATAATTTGACGCCTTTAATCTTTTCACCCCAAAGCTCATCAGATCAGTAAACCAATTGGTAAAGGTTCTTCATACCTGATTCATTCTGTTGATGTAAACTGAGACTATTTTCCAATGGAGATCACCTGGAAACAACATCAGCCAAAGAGATCCAAGAACCAAAATGAGGATGTTTTAAACCAAAAAATAGAGTTGATTCCGTTTTAGTGAATTCGTTGATTACCTGTTCGGGTGCGTTTGAGGAGTTCGCAGCCTCTAGCAAGCAATTCTCTGCTGCAAATCCCCAAGAAATTATCCTCCGGGACGAGTTCACCGCTATGGCTACTGCTTGAGCTGCCATTGCTACTGTTACCGTTACCATTGCCATTGCCGTTGCCATTATGATTGCTGCATCCTCCTGAATTTATCCCTTTATCCATCTGAATCACTGATGCAATATTCCACACTTCCTTCAGTGCCCTCGCCTTCAATGTCGCCACACCTCTTAACGCTGGTGGCATCAGAAGACGAGAATCAGAAATCTTATCAGAACATTAGTTTATCTGACAATGCTCCATATCTTCATCATGTTTGGGTTTTGAAGAAACCCATGATCGGTTCTACCAATTTTGTCGAAAAAGTTTGGAACTTGAACAAAACCCATGAACAAAATCAGATCCTGTCAGAAAATTAGTTTATCTGGAAATGTTCGATATCTTCATCAAGTTTGGGTTTTTAAAGAAACCCAAGTTTTACCAATTTTTTCGAAAAAGTTTGGAACTTGAACAAAACCCATGAAAAAATTTCGGGTCAATTTCAATTGTACCGAACCTGTGGCAGCTGCGGCGGTTAACGTCATGATATCTCCGGCGGAGCGGACGTTGACGGCGGAGCTCACGACGGAGGCCAAGTGCTCGCGCTCGGCTCCCATCACTTCAGCAGCCTCCACGCACTGAGCAGCCACAAGGGTCGCATTTATTCCTCACTTTCAT